TAACTTGCCCAAAACAGTGAGAGAAAAGCTGCTTTTATGTGAACTTCTGCAGACTGTGAACTTCTGAGGCCCTCCCCTTACATGCTGGGTATAAAACTCTGAAACTACCTGAACTCGGGGTTCAGGAGATTGATTGATTACAGCAAAAGCTGTGCCCTCTGAACCTGGCTGTAGCTAAATAAAACTGTTTCATACTATCTTTGGTGCCTTGCCTCCTCTGTCCCTACAACAATAATACATGTGATGCGGGAGGCTGAGGTAGGAGGATAGAGAGTTTGAGACCAGCCTCTGCAACTTAGAGAGGCCTTGTATCAAAATAAAAGAATAAAAAGGGCTGAGGGTAGAGCACTCCTAGGTTTAATTCTAAGTACTGCAAATAAATAAATAAATAAATAATTCTTCCAGGCCTTGGGAGACTGAGTGGCAGGGTGCTTGCCTTACTTCCATGAGGCCTTGGGTATTTCGTGTTTTGAGGTTTGGGGGGTTTTGTTTGTTTGTTTGGGGGGTTACTTATTTACCAATATACTGCAAATATGTTGGGATTGAACTAGGGATTGAACTCAGGGGTGCTCTACCTCTGAGCTACACCCCCTGCCCTTTATTAAGTTCTTTTCTATTTTGAGACAGGGTCCTGCTAAGTTGCCCTGGCTTGACTTGAACTTGCTATGCTCCTGCCTCAACCTCTCAGATGCCCTTGGTTTGGTCCCAGCTTTGCAAAAGGATTAAAGGAAAGGAGAATAGGGAGAAAACCCCCAAATTGCATGAAAGGTCAATCCCAGAACTTTCTGCCTGTGTTATATAAAGCTGTGTGTACCAGAGTAGCTTTTGTAGACAACAAAAACTGCAAATACAGGGCTGAGGTTGTGGCTCAGTGGCAGAGCGTTTGGCTAGCATGTGTGAGGCGCTGGGTTCGATTCTCAGCATCACATATAAATAAATGCATAAAATAAAGGTTCATCAACATCTAAAAAAAGTTTAAAAAAACAAAACAACAACAAAGGCAAGCAAACAACAACAACAACAACAAACCCCGCAAATACAACCAGAAGCTGGTTTTGAATGTCCCAAGCCAAAAAGAGTCAGTTTGCATCCACACTAGTGGGAAAATCATAAGGTGGCCAGAAGGAACAGGGGACCCCTCAGCTGATAGTCCTTTGCTGTGCTTTTAAGGTAAACTCCATTGCAGGAGCAGGCTGCCCAGTGTGACTGATATAAACTCTACTTCTTTTAGTGTCCCTGAGTGGCTCCCTCAAAGACAGTACATGTGGGCATGAAGTGACAGATCCTGTTTTGTTTTTTTTTTTTCTAGGAAATTCCAGGGTAAACTGAGCAAACTGAACAGGCAAGGAAGGAGTGGCTTCTATGCACAATCAAGATGTAGCGGCATCTCCAACCCCCAACAAGAGACCCCATTGTGGTTTCCAGGGGAAAAGCAGGGAGAGGCAATAATCAGGGAAGGGAAGGGAGGCCTGTCACTCTCTGTAAGGATGATCAGGCCCAGGAGGTGTGAAAAGGCATATCACAGGCACAGAGGCTCAGAAGCACTAGGCCAGGAGGGCTGTCTGCTGTCAACAGCAGGAGACAGGCAGATAAGATCTGGGACAATTCCATGTGAACATTTCAACCCAAGGCCCTGGGTTGCTCTTTAGTCTCAGGAAAGTTTCTCCTTTTTAATAATCTCCCTGAACACCTGAGGTGCCATTGACAGAAAAAATGAATCTTATTTTCAAATTCTTCAAGCATTACAGAAAAAAAAAATCCTGGATGAGATTTTATGAACTTTTCAGAGCTGAGTAACAGCTTCCTAAGTAGATGTTATTTGATTAGAAAAATGGGTGGATGAGTAGATATAAATAGATAGATGATAGATAGACTTCTATTTTATTGCATATAATCAATAATTATGGGCTGGGGTGTACCTCAATGGTAGAAGGCTTGCTTAGGAAGAGCAAGGCCCTGGGTTTGATCTTAAAAAAAAAAAAAAAAAAAAAAAAACAAGGATTTATAATTCAGTTCCTAATTTCTATTTAAAGCAAATAAGTGCTTATACCCTACGTATTAATTCTTATCATGATTAAGTCTTGGTTTTCTTTTTACCACAATTGCAGCCTCTCAAATGTGGAACAGTTTTCTTAGTTCAGTTTCCTAAGTGCAGCTATTAAAAATAAGATGCGTTTCTTTTTCCTCTGGCAATGGTTTTTCAGCACACTTGGAACTGGTGTTAAAAAGTATGGGGGGGGGGCATTTGTTAACACCAATTTTATACATGACATAAACATATTCATTGAGGTTCTTTTTTTTTTTTTAATTGAACTTAGTGGCACTCAATCACTGAGTCACATGCCCAGCCCTATTTTGAATTTTATTTAGAGACAGGGTCTCACTGAGTTGCTAAGCACCTGGCCATTGCTGAGGCTGGCTTTGAACTTGCAATCCCCCCATCTCAGCCTCTCTAGCCTCTGGGATTACAGTTATGCGCCACCTTGCCTGGCTCATAGATGTTTTAGGATAAATGTGCAAAGTTTTTTACTTGTTTATTCCTATAATTACTAAACTGCAATAGAAGGTACTGCTTAGAAAGTACTTCAAAAATTTTGAAGACAACTTTGGGATAAGAAATGATTACTGCCTAGAAATATTTATGTCTCATAACTTGAATAATTATTTTTCTCATGAATCAATGAACTCTAAGGCGACCTTCTATTAAATTTTACTTTTTTTTTGGTTTTGTTTTTAGTTTTTAAATTCTACATTGTTTTACTTTGACACTTATCTGAACATTACATTCAGTTCATTTTTTTCATAGCCAATAGTTGAAAAGGTCAAAAATGCCAATAAATTTATTTACAATATAAATTTTTTTTTAAAGAGAGAGTGAGAGAGAGAGAGAGAGAGAGAGAGAGAGAGAGAGGAGAGAATTTTTTAATCTTTATTTTTTAGTTTTCGGCAGGCACAACATCTTTGTTTGTATGTGGTGCTGAGGATCAAACCCCGGCCGCACGCATGCCAGGCGAGCGCGCTACCACTTGAGCCACATCCCCATCCCCTAAAATTTTTAAATACTATAATCCAGAGCTGGGGATGTGGCTCAAGCGGTAGCGCGCTCGCCTAGCATGCGTGCGGCCGGGGTTTGATCCTCAGCACCACATAGAAACGAACCGCCGAGAGAACTAAGAAAAAATAAATAAATGTTAAAATTCTCTCTCTCTGTCCCCCTCTCTCTCTCACTCTCTCTTTAAAAAAAAATACTATAATTCATAAGCTTCTGAGCTAAAGTGGATTTAAGAAGCTGAACAACTTGGTGGAAGTTTCTTCTACTTGAGGCACATGCTCAACAGGGACATTCTGTATAACAGCACCTTCTTGTCTTGACTTTTCCTTTCAATTCAGCTTAGAATTTATTTATTTATTTATTTATTTATTTATTTTTTTTGGTGTGTGTGTATGTGTGTATGTGTGGTGCTGGAGATGGAACCAGGACTAAGCAAGCACTTAGCTAAACCATTAGCTTTACATATTCTAAATGAAGTTCATCAGGTTTATAAAATAGCAGTCTTTTGATCAGTTAATTCATCAATTCAGGCTGTATTACCTATTCCAGGGGCTGAGTTTTTTTGTTTGTTTGTTTGTTTTTATTTTTGTTTTTAATGGGCTGGGCCTTATGCATGCTAGGCAAAAGCTCAACCACTGAGTTTCATATTTTATTTTCATATTTTATTTTCAAATTGGTCTTGCTAAGATTCCCAGACAGTCCTCAAATTTGTCATCCTCCCTACTTCAGTCTCCTGAGTAATTGAATTACAGGTGTGCACTAACCTGCCCAGCTTCTTTTCTGTGAATAACTTGGAATATCTACTTGTTCTCACTCTCCTGATTTCCAGATGTGGTCTCTGTCCAAATAGAGCAGTTGACCAATCAGTGGGAAGCCAGAGTAGAAGACAAGAGATTCTCAGATACCTTATGACTTGTTAGAAGACAGCACTTTATCCCTCTTTTTGTGTTTCCAAAGTTATTTATACAGTTTAGCATCTGTTTCCTACATGGTGCTGCCAGGAGACCCTTGATGGGCCTCTTCAAACCAAATCAGTCCCCTTCCTAGCTTTACTGGGTCTGCAGCTACTGAAGACTCTTCCCTTTATGGGGATGTTGTGATCATCCCAGGAAGGTGCTAATTATAGCTGCAGAAAAGGAGCCATGGGTGCCAGGCTGTCTGCTCCTGCAATTGCTCCCTCTCCTCTGACTTTCTCTATTCAGGGAACATTTTTAGGCAGTTGCTCTTAGTCAAATCCACAGCACAGGAACACACACACACACACACACACACACACACACACACACTCGACTGACAGTGAACAAATGAATGAGATGTGGTATTGGTGAGACACTGGGAATGAGGGCTGCTCAGAGAGTAGCAGTGTCTTTTTTTTTTTTTTTTAAAGAGAGAGAGAGAGAGAATTTTCCAACATTTATTTTTTAGTTTTCGGCGGACACAACATCTTTGTTGGTATGTGGTGCTGAGGATCGAACCCGGGCCGCACGCATGCCAGGCGAGCGCACTACCGCTTGAGCCACATCCCCAGCCCCGAGTAGCAGTGTCTTTAAAGTCTGTCGGGCCTCTCCATGTACACTCTGAAACTATTAGAGAGGAATTCTGGGTTCAACAAGCCCACACCTGTAATATTCATGCATGAACTCAATGCAGAACTTAAAATAAGGCTCAGGAAGCAAGAAAGGCTCTTTCATATTTATTACATAGTACAAATATTCACCTAATGGTTCACTTTGTAGAAGAGTAAGCAATTCTGTTATTTACAAGAGAAAATTAAAGAGGTTGCCCAAGTCCTGGCTTTCTTACTGGGAACACAGTGGCTCTTGTACCATAATCAAGGTTTAGTCTTCCAAGTCCCAAGAGGGAGCTTCTGTTCACTTAGAGTCTCCTTCACAGACAAGGCACTGCAGGAGGGCCCAGAACAGCAGGAGGAGAAAACTCAGTAAACTATATGAGCTTGGCCCATTGGCATGTGAGGGGAGAAAGTCTTTCAAATCTGAAAAAGAACAGGGAGAATACACTGTTATACACCTGGCTTAAAGGAATGAAATAGAAATGCTTGTACCTGTTCTTCTAAAGGCACTCTTCTGCCTTGCCCTCCTCACCAGAATCTGACTCTTGGGCCCTGCTTCAGGGCTGGCAGTTTGGGAGGTGGGGGGGGGGGGATCTATGTTCAATGCCTCCTTGAGAGGAGATCTCACTGGAGCACAGTGCACAGTGTTCAGGGGCAGCCCTGCCAGAACCCAGCTAGGGGAAGTGTGCCATTTAACAATTGGGACCAGTAGAACAGACTTAAAACAATGTAACAAAATAAAACAGCCTTCAAACCATCTGCTGCAAAGATAGTCCAAGTTTTCCCCAGATTAGTTCTAACAATATTGCTTTTAAGTAGGAACAGAGTTTATTAAATAGGAGGATGCAGCAATCCCTAAAGTCACGATCATTCATTGGAACATTTCAGGAATGCTGGGTACAGCCCTCACATTAAGACAACCAAGGTGGCTACAAATTTTTTTAATTTTTTTTAATCTCTCACTCTGTTGGTCAAAGAACAAACATACAACCAGAGACATGAAAAATTGTGCTCTATATGTCTACTATGAATTGAAATGCATTCTGCTGTCGTATATAACAAATTAGAATAAATAAACAACAACTTGAGCATATTTAGTGGTGGAAGCACAGTTGAGTGTGCACAAATTTTATTTTATTATTATTATTTTTTAATATTTATTTTTTAGTTTTAGGTGGACACATGTCTTTATTTTATTTTTATGTGGTGCTGATATTTGAACCCAGTGCCTCATGCATTCTAGGCGAGCATGCTACCACTTGAGCCACATCCCCAGTCCCAAATTTGATTTTATTTATATCTTCCCTTTCAGACATGAACAAGACTCAGAGACGTGATGAAAATCTCTTGACCTTTTAATAAATCTTGCCCATGGCCCACACAGGTGACAGAAAGTGGGTTCCCCTGCGTGGAGTGGGCTGGCTGAGAAATATGGCAAAAAAATCATTTTAAAATAGATTTTTTTTTTTTTTTTTTTAGTTCTCGGCGGACACAACATCTTTGTTGGTATGTGGTGCTGAGGATCGAACCCGGGTCGCACGCATGCCAGGCGAGCGCGCTACCGCTTGAGCCACATCCCCAGCCCCTTAAAATAGATTTAAAGAGTGGGGGCAGGACAGCTCTTCGACTTTAAGGGTGGAGCTTCCATGCTGGAAAGAGAGAGTGAGAGCCTGAATTTGTTTTATTTATATGGGGGAACTTTAAAGCTTTTGTACAGATGTTCTTAGTCAATTAAGGTAGGAGGTGGGCTGTCCAGTTCCCAGTGGGTCACGCCCAACTCTGGAGCTGGGAGATCTGTCTTCCTAGCCTAATGAAGACTGAAGACACGTGTATTGTGTATCCATTAAGTGGGAGGGACCACAAAATAGCATGCAATGCCAGACCAAAATCTCCTTGGGTTAAGGCTAAGTGAAGATGCTAAATAGCTCAGGAGTGGCTTCCCACAGATAAATGTATGTACAAGGTCATAGTAAATCATCCATCAGTATCAGAGTTTCCTTTTGGGTATAACATAAAATAACAGTGGGTCGAAAAATCATTGATCATGATCATTAGGTTCACCTGTTGCCTGTTCATCAACCCCCCCTTCACCACCAGGACACAGGAGCATGCATACCTGAGCACCTCCTTCTGCAGCCCCCCTCCCCATCTGTGTCTCTCCTCCACAACAGTCCTCACTCATCTGAACCCTAGGAGTCCCCAGTCTGGTTCTCTGAGCCTGGGACCCCAGCCCTGGGCAGCTGAATGGGAATTTCTAAGGTGGTGGGGCTGGGTAGGAATCTTGGTTAAAATCCTCCGTGGTGATGACCATATGAACCTGCCAACCCTACAGGCAAGTCACCAATTGCACCACATCATTCTCACATCAAGACTGAGGCTGGGTGTCTGACTGGGCTCCTCTCCAGAGCTGTTTAGCATATGCCAGCGTGGCTTGCCCCAGACAGGCACAAACAGTGAACCAGTGATATGGACAAGCAGTGGCAGCAGGGGCTCCCCAGACCTGTGCGAGGGTGGGCTGCAGTGTGATCTGTCCAGAGTCCAACTCCAGATGGGACCAAGGTCAGGCGCACTCCAGGACTGAGTGCTACTTCCCTATATGGCCCCACCGTGGATGAAAGTGTCTGATTCCCCAAACAGGGACCCTACCAGCTGGGTCCAGGTGAGGCTAATGTTGACAGGTCCTTACACCTGATCAGAAACTCTTCTGATGAGAAAGGAGTCAGTATTAGGTCCATGATGACCTCCCCTTGGGAGAAGGGAGCAGGCTGCCCTAACAGGAGAATTCAGGCCCCCTTGGCTGTGACTTTAGTCAGCTTTGTGAATCTGTGAAGAGGGTTAGACTAAGATAGCTGCTCAGTTAGGGGTCCCCAGATTGGAGATGTGAACACCATGGAATGTGCTCCCCAGAGGGTCTGAGGACACTCATGAGTTTATAAAGAAAAATATTAGAATTTCCAATTCTAGATTTATGGAAAAAATTAAAAATATAATTTAATAATATTTACGGTGCTTACTAAAATTGATAAAATCAATGATTTTGCTACTCTCCATCATTTTATGTCACACCAAAAGGAAACTCTTATTACTGTGAACTGGGAGTATTATTATATACTTATTGAAAGGTCCTTCTCAGCTGGGTATGGTGGTGCACACCTGTAATCTCAGGAACTCAGGAGTCTGAAGCAGGAGGACCACAAGTTCAAGGTCAGTCTCAGCAATTTAGTGAGACCCTGTCTCAAAATAAAAAAAATAAAATGGCTGGGGGTGTAGCTCAGTGGTAGAGTGGTAGTGGGTTTAATCCCCAGTTCAAGAAAATAAAAATAAAGAAGGTACTTCCTAGACTTTAGACATAGCAGAGATCTTTGTCATTATGAGTCTTGTGCATATGTGAAAAGGAAGATATAAATGAAATCAAGTTTGTGTGGGCTCAGCATGGTAACGATGTCTTCACTRCTGAATGGGGAGTATACTCAAATTATTTTTTACTAATGTAAAAACGTAATTAATTACTTAAGTTTTTGAAGACCACAATGAATGAGGATAATATCACCTCTCAATATGAGGGCCAAACCCAGCATTTTTGATACTCTTCAACTTGTAGCTACCTAGAAACCCCTGGGAGCCAGAAGGCTTCCTCTCCTGCCCTCAAACCCAGGAAATCTTGCCCACAGAAATGACACCAGTCACAGATAATATCCCAGGAAGGCTGGACAAAGGCTCAGAGTTGACTGGGTTCTAGGACCTTTAAGGCCATCCTTATGGCATCTGAAAGGCTGAGTCTGGCTAATTTTTGCTAATTTGTTTGTTGGTTATTATTATTATTATTTTTTTGCCAGAAATGCATTTTAAAAAAAAATTGAGTTTACAGGGGCTGGGGATGTGGCTCAAGCGGTAACTCGCTCGCCTGGCATKCACAGGGCGCTGGGTTCGATCCTCAGCACCACATAAAATAAAGATGTTGTGTCCACCGAAAACTGAAAAATAAATATTAAAAAATTCTCTCTCTCTCTCTCTCTCAAAAAAAAATTGAGTCTACAATAAGTAAATATAAAATAAAATTGAGTATCTTGACTTGGCCCCACCTCACATTTGTGTTACCTGTCTATCTCTTGAGTTTGCTACTTCACTGGGCCATTAAATAGGTACCAAATTTTAAATTAATACTAAAAAAAATATATTTTAGCATTGGGGATTGAACCTAGGGTCTTGAGCTCCACCATCATCCCTAGAGTATTTGGATTTTTTTTCCTTGTTTTTGCACTGCTAGAGATCATACCATGTGCCCCCCTGAATGCCAGACAAGTGCTCTACCATTGAGTTACACCACCAGCCTTTCAATTAGTTCTTGATGCTAATGACAAGTTCTTGGTTCTCTGCTTCATAGGTAGCCATCCTGTTGGTCTAATTGAGATGAGCTTGAGCTGGTTTAAGGTCTAAGCAAAGATTCCTTTTATTCTCGAACATCAGTCAGAGTGACCCCTGGAGACCCTCAGCCTGAAAATTTCTGAGTGGGGGGAGTAGCATAATTGTGCGTCATGTTATCTATTTTCAATCCCTCCCATGCATAGATGTCTTTCCCTACTATTAAAATGATATTGTGAATATAGTTTTTCCTCTATCTATCTCCCATATACTCTTGAAAACATCATAAAAAGCTATTAAAGGATTTAGACCATAGCCACATTTTCAATATGCTAAGCAACACTATCAAAAATATCTCCATTCTGGCCTGGGGTTGTAACTCAGTGGTAGAGCACTTGCCTAGCACGTGTGAAGCACTGGATTCAATTCTCAGCACTGCATATAAATAAATAAAATAAAGGTCCATCAACAACTAAAAAATATATTTTAAAAAAATCTTCATTCTTTTCATATTGAGAATTAGTCTTACATGAATGGCACAGCAGTTAAGAATCGGGTCCTATTTGTTACCTATGGGAGTTAACCTCTCTCTAAGCCTCAGTCTCTCAAATATAAAAAGGTATAAAATATACTTCAAAGGCTGTTATGAGAATTAGATGGGATAATAGGTATAAAGTGCCTGAAACATAAAGAGATAAATTATCAGTCACCATCCTGCCATTTGATCACTATTAGCAGTCGTCATCATCACCATTTTAACTTGCCTAGAGCAGAATAGGTCAACCGGCATAATGGTGTTACCCTTTTTTCTGCACCTGACAAACTGCTCTGAAATGAGACTGCACTGTACTATTTTATCCAGTTTTGATGAGCAGAAGTCACATTTTCAGAAACTGTTGTGACTATTCTTAGCAGAAAGACAGCAGTCTCAGCCCTAGATGCTTCCAACAATACAAAATAGTGATTAAGATAATACTGGAACCCAGTTCCTGACCTCATGGCCTTGCATAGAAGCCTGACCCCAGCTATGACCTTCCTCAAATTCCTCCTGAGGAAGCTCTTGCAGGTGGAATCTGACTTCATTTGTGAGGGACCCTGTGTAATTCTGATGCCTGGACCTAAAATTTATGTCCTTCACTCTAGTAGGAGCAGTTGGTGAATCAAAGGCATGGCCCCAGCAAATGGGACAGACCATAGGAGAGAGAGGACTTTGGGGAAATGTAGCTTGCATGAAAGGGAGGGAGAGATGAATAAGGTGCTAGAATTTCCTCTTCACTTGCAGGTGCAAAACTAGCTGAGGAGAAGGGAGTGGGTGATGGGCCAGGAGGGAATGAGAGCTGTGCCTAGACTCCCTTGACACCTGGTCCCACTCTGAAGAAAAAGAGAAATTGAGCATTCACCGAGTGTGCTTCTCCATTAAGGACCCAACAAGGTCAGAATGAGGAGAAGACAGTAAATGGGGATTAAGGGCTTTCCCTCCTGGCTGTCTTGTTTGAGGGGGAGAGAAGTGGAATTGAAGGGCAGTGCAAATATTAACTGTGTCGATCCACTGCTGGAAGAGCCCAGTAGTTGACTGAGGTGGCAGGAAGGGCAGGAAAGAGGCTTTGGCCTTAGTCTCCCCTCTGGACACACTGCACAAACTACCCAGGCCCATGACTTCGGTTGAAGGGTGGTGTCTTCACTGACTGTGCTCACCACTGCTCATCCCAGTTAGCACCTGTTGAAAAGCAGTATTGAAAAGAGATAGGGCCCGGGCTATTGGATTGAAACGTGGTGCCACCTCCGTTAGCTTTTGCAGCCTGACAAGARAAGGGTTGCAACTGCCCAAGCCTCCAGAACCGAGGCCTGATCCCTTCTGGTTCCAGTGTCCTCTGGCGGGAAGAGATGGTATTGGCCAGTGTAGGGACATTTTCAGAGATTTATTCAGCTACCCTGACTCCCAGGTTCAACTCTGCTTACCAGCTTGTCAGCGCTGGAAGCTGCGCGCACAGTAAAGAACGCACACGGTCACTGTTCGGAAATCMTGTTAAACCGAGCAATCCGGACATGAGAAACCTTAAACAAAATTAGTAAATAATAATAATGATAATAATAGTTCACTGGGTAAGTTACAATGAGTGTGACTTTCTTCAGGGGTGAATTTAGTTTGCTTATTTCTGGGTCGCTTGGCACAGGAAACTGTTGTTTGAGTCCGTACTCAGGATGAACCACAAAAAAAGGCGCAAACGCACAAGTGTGTCAAGAGCAGAAGTCTCGGGTCCTCTTACCACAGCGGCCGAACGTCTGACGGGGAAGACAGTGTAGGGCCCCAAAGACGCACCTGCACAGGCGGCAACCACTGAAGGTCCAGGCTCCATGCACCAGGGCGCCGCAATCGCTGAGGAGGCGAACACCAGGCATCAATGCCTAGGTCCACGCACCCTGCCCGCAGCGCCCCCTCCTGCCCCTTTCTTGGGTCGCGTCCCCCGGTCCCCAGCGCCCACCTGCGCCTCTGGTCGTGCTCGCAGTAGCGGCCGGTGAAGTGGGCTGGGCACACGCAGAAGCTSCCCAGTACACAGGTGCCGCCGTTCCAGCAGCAGCGCTGTCGCAGGGACGCACCTGTGGAGGCGGGGTGGGTGTCRCTCAAGTTTAATCCCGACGCCCAGTGCAGGCGCTCCTCCTGGTCCCGGGGAGAGTCGGCCGAACTCGTGACCGCCCCGTGGAGGCAATAAAGCGGGCTTTCCGCTGAGGGTGTTTGCTTGGGCAAACCCTGCTTGTTAATTTAGGGATTAAAAACAAACTACCCGGGGTGCAGGAGGTCAGCAGAGTCCGGTGACACACAGCAAATTGGATTTTTCTCTCTCTTTTCACATGTTAAAGTCAGTGGCTTTACTCGACAGGGATTGAAGAAGACAGGCCTCCCAAGCAGGACCACCCACGGGTGTGGTGACGCCAAACCCAGAGAGGCCCCCTGGGGACGCGGAGACTGGAGCCCCAGAGTGTGCGATAAGCCAAACCAGGTCCACTATTATCTTGGTTTGGAACGTTTGTCTTAAACACATTTAAGTCACAGTTCTCTAGACCTGTGGAAAATAACCATTGGAGATCAAATGCAACGTTTTGCCAATGAAATAGTCAAACTTTTAAAGGAAATATATTTTTGCTTTGCAGTGATTCATAACTTGAACATGCCGAGATGTTCTCTCTGGGGTTTCTTATTTTTATCCCCAATTTATCCCACGGATTTTTGTTACTTTGTTTTGTTCTGTTTTTTTTCGAGACCCTATTTCTGAGTCCACCGACTTTGGAGAAAAATGTTTCCAGGGTGGGGGACGCCTAAACTTACGCTCTCCAAAAGCTCTGGAATAGGGAGAACCCCGCAGCCTCCAGTCCTCTTCGCTCCCATTCACCTCCCTGAAAGTACTCAGAGTCCAGTTGAGGGTTGTCTGCTGGTATTTGGGGGCTGCAAAATTTTTTGCTTCTTCTCTGCCACCTTTATGTTTCCCTCTTTGATAACCTTTTCAAAAACATTAAAAATATTAGACCGATAAGGATTGAGAAACATATTTTATGAAATGAAAACTGAGACTATGAATAAAATGCATCTTACTGTTTCCCAAATGGATGCTCTGTAATGCCAAACCCATCATAAAGAGAAGCCTAGAATATTTAAAGAAAAGTATTAAAGTTTGAAAGAGTATAAGCATATTATACATATAAAAATGTAGTGCAATCATACATAACTACACAAAACATTTAGCACAGTAAATGCAATCGTTTTGTTACTYGTATATTTTGACTAATGTTATCATAGCTAGAAAGATTTTGAGATTCAAGTGCACACTTCCTTTAATGAGAAGAAACTGTCACGCACGCATTGCAACTTATCCTGAGAATTTTAAACCCTCATCTTGGCTCTAAGATCTAAATGACACTGTTTTACCTGACATGGTGCCTCCAGGTCATTTTCCCACTGACACGCCTGGTCTCCTGTCATTAATACATTGAAGATCAATTTCCAAGGAAGTTGTGTCTGAGCAGTTTTTGCATTGGAAGGTATCTTTACTCAGAACATAGAATAGGTAAGTATGGAAAACACAGACATTTTCTTCCCTCTGTCTTGCCTAAGAGAAGCAATGATGAGATCTTGAGCTCTGCTGTTGAAGCCCAATAGGCGAGGGCCTGCTGTGACATCCAGGAGTCTGATGGACTGTCCCTCAATGAGTCCTAGCTAGGAGGGGGTGGAGATATGGGCTGACCCTCACCCCCACCCCCAGCAGTATTTGCAATCCTAACCTCAGCAGGGGTGGCCAATCCCTGGGGTAAAACATTGGTGACCAAAGTGACAAACCTTCTATCACTGGAAAACAAAATTAAAACTCTAACACAAATTAAAAAATGGAGATTTTTCTATTGCATTCTCGTGTACTGGGAGTTGTGAGAGGGCTCAGCTAGAGAGGAGACATAACCAGTAGCTGGGGTCCCAGAAGTCATGAATTGTGAGCATGAAAGTAAAGGAGGACAATTCAATCCCTCGTTTTTGAGATTCATCCTTACTTCCATAGATGGAAACTTTGCCCAGTTTGGTAACAGCTGTACCCATTTACTACAACACTCCTTTGGGAGAGGTGCTAGTCCTGCTCCCAGGTAAAAGGCAATAAAACTGACACTTTCTAGAGGCTAAGCCTCTTGATAGTTAAATCTTTGAAAAATGCAAAATGCACATATATTATGAGAAGCCCACTGGTCATAGCATGCAGAGTCCCCTGTGCACAGGTAAAACTGCTGTACACATTTGTCTGATGAGCCTATCTGAATCCAAGAAGAGAGAGACTTGGATGTCTCACCTGGCACTTGTGTAAGTCTCAGTGTTTCTTATTGTTTAAACTGAAACTCTGGTTCTTTTATCAGCAATAAAAAGGACACCTTGGAACTCAGTGTGGCAAATTGTTGTGTGACTTCAATTTAAAAACATTTTTTTTTTGGAAAAATCATGTTTCTTCCAAAGTTGAAAGAGTCTTTGACACTATTTGATTTCTTATACATTTAAATGTGAGTTTTATTAAAGAGAATGTTATGTAATTTAATTTAATTATATGTAAAAAGTAAGTACATTTTATGACTTTGAATTAACAGAAACTTCTGTATGAACTAAGTGTGTTATGTATTAAAATAAAAATTATTGAAATAAAGGACTGTATTTCTTTATATAAATAAGTTTTAAAACCATTCATGTAACAGAATGCTGTGGAAAACAAATCTTTCTGATAATACTGAAGTTTTAAAAAGAAACATCTAAAATCTAATCCCCCCTATAGTTTCCTCCTATTCAACTGTTTTACAGTAGACATTTCCAAACACATACACAAGCTGGGAAATGATCAGTAAACTCAGGTTCACCAATTAAGTATTAGCCTTTGCCAATCTTATGTACCACAATTATTTTCATTGTGGAGTTTAAAAGCACTTGCTTGTTTAAAAGCACTTACCCTAGATGTTGAGTTGTTTCATATCTTATAAGGTTTTGAAAATCTGCAATTTATAAATGGAAAATGTAGAAAAAGGAAAGGAAATGTTTGCTTTCAAGACAAGTTTGAGTCAGAAAATGAGGGCTGGGGTGTAGCTCAGTGGTACAGGGCTTGTCTAGTGGGTGCAAGGACCTGGCAGGGGGTAGGGGAGAGGGAGAAAGAGAAGAGAGGCAGACCAGCAACAGAATGTCCCAATTCTGTTTACTTAAGATCAGCTCTGGGGATGGGGCAGGGCTGAGTGCCTGCAGTGATAAAGCTGCTGATAAACTATTTTTCACCATACTGTTACTCCATGCAGAGCTTTGTTGTCCTTTGTTGTCTCATTTGCTAGAAGGTTTTACAAAAAGAGTTTTGCATTTCAGTGCTGAGGAGCTGCCATGTTTGTGATCAACAAAGCCCAGCAAGTAAAGGTTGCCTGGGAACAGCTGGAGTGGGGGAAGGTGGGTCCTTTGCCTTGGGGGAGGTCCTCTCCCTTGTTATCAGTTGTAAACAGATAAGGTAGGAGCCACCAATCCAATCTCCAGTGGATGCCCTGACTCATTAGATGCGTGGGAACTGGGACTCTCATGCCAAGAATGGGCACTGTCCCTTGTCATGTTTTCAGCACATCAAACATTCACAGAGGAAAATGCTCTGTAGCAAATTAGGTGTGAAGGAATTCTGTGAGAAAGACTTTAAAGCTGAGGTTKTCCTATCAGCTACTCACTGGGTTCCATGGGGGAGTGAAAATGTCTTCTCTCCATCCTCCTAGGTGCTTTGGCTTGGCTACTTTGTGTCTCTATAGATTTTTCTTTTCTAGGTATTTCATGTTAATGAAATTATACAATATTTGTCCGTGGGGTGGGGATTGAACTGGGGAACCTCACGTTCTAGGAATGTGTTCTACCAAACCTATGCTTGTCCTTTGGCACCTCACTCCTTTCACATAGTGCGATGCTTTTAGGTTGTAGCATGTATTAGAACTTTATGTCTTTTCATAAGTGAAAAATATCTCATCATATGTATATACACCATTTCTGTGTATCTGACATCTGTTCATGGATGCTTGGGTTCTTTCTACCTTTGAGTAGAGCAGAGAGGGAAAATGGCCATCTACACACCAATAAGGGAAGACAAAATTTTGATGTTGGACTTCCGGCCTCCAGAACCATGAGAAAACAAATTTCTGTTCGTTAAACCACACAGTCTGTGGTATTTTAGCATGGGCATATGAGCTCATACCAAGGTTTTTAGATTTTTCTATTCATTTTTTCTTTTTTTGATGCTATGGACTGAATTCAAGGCCTGGCTAGTCTAAGCACATACTTTACTACTGAATTATACCTCTAGCCATATTTTTTTCATTGTTGTTACATATTATGTATATACATATACACACATAATATATATACACACATATTATGTGTATTAAGTCATTTTGGTGTGACCAAAATACTTGTGGAGAACAGCTTGAAGTGTTGTTGAAAGGTTGGTCCTTTCCCTGATGCCAATATAACGATGAGGACATGGTTTTGAGGAAAAGGAAAAAGAAGTTTATTGCTTTGCTAGCAAAGGAGAAACACAAGGGACTCCTGTCCCAGAGGCTATGATTTTGCCCATCAGCAGGAAGAGGGGGCTTTTAAAGAGATGATTCAAAGACTACATTCCACATGCTTTCTGGAGTTGTAATTCACTTGTTAATTTGGAAGATAGTCATTTCTGAGATCTTCCAGTACCATCCCCAAAGTCTGGATTATCTCATTCCTATGGTGGGTATGTACTTAGGGACAGATAATTCTACCTAGGATGGGGAAGAAAGGTAATCCTGTTTCCCCTAAGATTAGGGAGGGGGAGATATTTGAGAGGAGCAGGGAGAGAGGAGGAGAAAGAAACATGTCCATTTAAAAAAAATCAGTTGCAGGGACAGAGCTGCAAGGGTAATATTCAAAGCATAAAGTGGACCACTGTTACAAGAGGAGGAAAAGTTAATTTGGGCTCATGGTTTTGAAGGTATCAGTCCATGATCAGCTGTCTCCATTGCTATAGTCAAGAACATCATGGTGGAATGGTGTGGAAGAGGAAAGCTGCTTAGCTCATGGAAACTGGGAAGGAGAGGGAGAGAGGAAGAGAGAGAATATGAATATCCAGGGACAACATATGGTCCTCAAGGGGATGCCTCCAGCAACCCACTTCCTCTATCCATTCCCACCTGCCTACAGTTACTACCCAATAGTCTGTTCAAATTATTAATCCATCCAATGGATTAACCTACTGATAAGGTTACAGCTCTCATGACCCAATCATTTCCTAAAAGCCCCACCTCTCTACTTGTTACGTTGGGAACTATGCTTTCAACACATGAGTTTTGGGGGGACATTTCATAATCCAAATCATTATTCAAGTATTCACATTTCATATCTAAAGCCTTATGCAATTTAGTAACTTCTGCCAATTTGAGGCTAGTCTCAGCAACTTACTTCCTCCTACTTATTTATTGCTTTTTTCAATTGGTGCAACATAGGTAGACATAAAAGTGAAATTCACTGGATATATTCATATATACATGTATATAACGTCATTTGTCAATTACACTCCACAGTTCCTACCTTCTCTCATTCTTCTTCCATCTCTTTCCTCTGCTCCTCTGGTCTTCCCTCTGTTTTCAGAGGATTCCTACTGGGAGGTAGTTAGGTCATTGGGATGTATCATGGGGATATTGGAACCCTGGTCCCTTTCTGCTTCCCTCTTTTGCTTTCTTGCCTCCATGAGATGAGCATCATTTTTCATGTGCTCCCACCATGATGTACCCCACCACTAACAGACCCAAAAGTAATGAACCAACCGACTAAAGACTGAATCCTCCAAAACCATAGTAACCCTTTACTCCTTCTAAGTGGATTATCTTGGGTATTTGTCACAGTAATGAAAAGCTAAATAACACACAGGGTAAATAAGGTATTTAATTAAAAATGGGTCAAGGAAATTCATATTTATACAACTGATAGGAAACCAGGAATGATTCAGGAGTGAAGTGGAAGGTGCTGAGAGGTGTTCTTAAGTGGGTCTAGTCCACCAGCACAGGAGTGTGGACTGTCCCCCTTTCTCCACAGAAAAGCCCTCTTCAYCATGGCTGATTTTAGGACTGTCAGCAAAAGAGTCTCTGCAAAAGAGTCCAATGTAGATAAACTTCCTATTTTTGTGTCACCCTGTTTATTTGGCCTCTGGCTGAAAAGATACCAGCACTCCAGGTGCTGGACACCCCCTTACTAGTTTTTCACAAACATATCCAGTATAGTACTTTGTAGAAATGTGCAAACAAGGCCTCTGGCCTTGAGCTGGGCTTCACAGAGATGTCTACATTTTTAAGATAAGTTATACATCGGCTCCATGGTAACAGCTGGCAGGGGGAGGAAAGAAAGGGGAGAAGAAGCTCTCCCCTTCTCAGGTGTTGTCCTTGAA